GTTGTGTCACTGGGGACAGGCTTTCAAAAGACTCACAACATCCCTACTCTGTGTGTGTGTGTTGTCCTACTTGCAGGTCAAGAAGTAAGCTCTTATCTGTTCTTCCACTCTGCCATTATGTACTCTAACCTTATAAAACCATAAGCCCAAATGAAACACTTTCTTTCATAAGTTGCCTTGGTCATGGTGTTTTATCTCAGCCTAGAAAATTAAGTAGGACAGGTGTCCATTCCAAGTCAATGTATACACAGTGCAGCTCCTCCGTTTAAAGTTCAAGGAACACCATGGGGGGGGGGGCAAAAGATTGTAAGATCGAGGGAACTAGAATATCTGCTGCCATAAAGTCTCTTCCAAAAAAGCAAAAGAAGAAAGTAAAAAGGAAGGGAGGGAGGGAGGGAGGGAGGGAGGGAGGGAGGAAGGAAGGAAGGGAGGGAGGGAGGGAGGGAGGGAGGGAGGGAGGGAGGGAGGGAGGGAGGGAGGGAGGGAGGGAGGGAGGGAAGGAGGAAAGAGGGAGAGATATGAAGTGGGGAGTGTGTGGGGAGAAGGAGGGATGGATCTGTGAGGAGCTAGGGAGAAGAGTTGTAGATGAATATGATCAAGATTCAGTGTATGAAATTCTCTAAGAATTAATAAAAGCATTGCATTGCTAAAATATAAACAAAAAGAATATATCACAATATACATAATAAAATGTCTTCAGTCATAAAGAATAAAATTTTGTCATTTTCAGGAAAATTGATGCAAATGGTTTTAGAAAGTAAGTATTGCATGTTTTTCGTTATTTTTGTTCCTAGATTTTATAGAGATTACTAAAGTCAGGTGTGTGTGTGTGTGTGTGTGTGTGTGTGTGTGATCTGAAAGCAAAAGGGAAGCTGTCTAGGAAAACAAGAAGACTAATGGGAGGAAGATGGTTGAGAAAGAAGAAGATGGAGAATATGGGGGATATGGTCAACCTATATCACGTACTTTTATAAAAATATTCTTCAGTAATATAGCACCATGTAAATGATTATACAAAAAGAAAATACTTCAAGTTTTATAGCAGAAAATAAAAAAAAAGACTTCTCAGCAGGTACATAGTAGACAGGAGATTATAAGATGATAAATTTTGGAAGTAGAGAACTTATTTTCATCTCATTGTCACAGCTGGAATTCATTTGCCTCAAGACAAAGGGTCCTTTGAGGCTTACACTCATAACTTATTTAAATGAGACTTACTGTTGAGTTTTGGAGTTGGTGCTGTAATTAGCTAAAACCTAGAAATTACTGGTACAATAAATGGATTTTGCACATAAATAATGGTTTTAGGAGGCCAAGGGAAGGATACTATAATTTGAATGCACACTCTAAATTTTGTTGAAATTTAATTGGCATTTCAATAGTATTAAGAAGGTCGTTGAATTGTATAGTCTTTGGGTCTGGTTAATTATAGTGTGCGATTTTTTAATGGCTGCATTTTAAATAACAAATTTTAACATAAAAATACATCTTCGAAGTGAAGAAGAGGGAAATTTAAGATCTGCCATCTCCCTTCATTACCCCCCAAAATGTTAGTAGAGCAAAGGTGGGTTGGTTATGTAGCTATAAGCTCTACATCCAATGGTTAGTTTGACTCATTCTTTTCTGTCTTGTATGTGCTCCTATGTCCTTGCCATACTATGATATAGCAAGAAGATCCCTGCCATACTTTGTGGTAGGACTATGCTTTGGGACTTCCTAGCTTCCATACCTCTAAGAAACAGATTTCTTTGCTTTAGAAGTTATCATGCTATAGCCATATAAAATGGACTAAGATACTAAGTAGTATGCTGTTGAATAACCAGTTGGTAAAAAAAGAAATGAAAAAGTAACTTAGAAAAAAATGCCTCAGGAAAAATAAAAATACAAACACAACATCAAAGAAAAACATTTTTGTTCATACAAAAATGTAGAATATCATTCTCACTAAAAGTAACACAATTATAAAATCCCTATTGAAACATGATAGATTGTGAATAGGCAACCAAAACAATACTGAGAAGGAAAAACCAGACAGAAGCATATAGGAGCCATAGGGGTGACAATGAGAGAGAGTAGCAGATTAGAACGAAGTATAATAACACATAGATAGGTACGAAAATACCATAATGAAATTCATTGCTTTGTATGTTAACCCAAAATATTAATTTAAAAATTCTTCAAAACCATAATGAGATATCACTTTCTACTTAATGAAATTGATGATCATTTTAAATTAATAATATCAAATGTTAATCATTATATAGGACACCTGAAACAAAACATCAGTAGTGAAAATGTAAAATAGCATAACACTGGAAATGTTTTAGACTTATAAAATTATGGAAATTACATGCAACCTAGCTATTCTAATTCTAGTTATTTTTCAAAGACAAAATAAAAATTTATGTTTCCACCAAACCTTATGCTAGAATATATTCACAGGAACTTTATTTGTAAGTATTTATAACTGGGAGCAACCAAGATATTCACTAACTGGTGAATAGGTAAAAAAGATCAACTACTGGTAGAATTATCACATTATGAATGGCATTGTGTTAAGTGAAAAAGGGCATGTACAAAACATCCTATCACTTTATTTCATTTATATGACATTCTAGAAGAAGCAGTAATGTGATAATGAAAAGCATATCAATGTTTGAAGGAACCTGGGGTTAAAACATAAAAGAAAGATAAGAACTTTTATGTAGAAATGAAAATATTCTAATTTATTTTTCAAGACAGGGTTTCTCTATGTAACAGCCCTGGCTGTCTGGGAACTTACTTTGTAGAACAAGATGGCCTCGAACTCACAGAGATCTGCCTGCCTCTGCCTCCTAAGTCCTGGGATTAAAGGGATGCACCACTACTTCGTGATTAGAATGGTAGTTACATAACTACTTGCAATTACTAAAAAATTCATTGCCGTATATAACTCATATTGGGGAATCTTATATGTAAGTTATACCCAAGACATTCTAAACAATAAAATAAAGATAAGTACATTCTAGAACAATGTGAGTTTTGAAGGCAAAATAATATTTCAAATGAATAGTATATCATTATCAAATATTTATCCCAGTTTTATAACATTCATTTATCATGTGAAAACTATTCAATTCAAATTAATAAAATATTAACATTAACATATTAAAGCATAAAAGAGTCTTCTTATCCCCTAGGGGACATAGGACAATGCAGGAAGACATGTACAGGTTGTTATAACCATTGGACAGAAAAACGATATTTGGTATTTAGCAGATAGAGCCAAAGAATGCTAATAACACACATGAATATGCAAAAGAAAACCTCTGGTTGAAGACATTGATCTGTGTTCTGCTTTCCTAACACAACTTATATCTATGTGTTGCTATAAAGGACATATATCTAGTCTGCTCTTACGTAATACCTAAGAACAAAATGTCCCATCTGATGTTTTTGTTGTTCTGACTTCACTCCAGCTCACACAGCACTGAACGCACTCAGCAATTTTGTGCCTGAGCATTCTGGATCTCTTATAGTGTCTCTTAGCTATAATTTTTGGAATGGAACTACTAGGTCATGCTCATGTGTAAGATTTATAAAACTACTCAGGTACTATCTGAAATGGCTGAACTAGTCAATATACTGTATAGAAAGAGTTACCGTATCAGGTCTCGGAGTCCTGTATGTAGAAAGGTCTCCTTGAAAACTTCGCCCTTCGCAAGCATCATAGAACTTGACTACCAACAAGGATCCTTACCATGCCCTGGCCACAACAGCTCATTGTGCCAGACAGAAGAAGCAATGTGGTTTATATAAAATATTTGCTTTTCTTCCAAAAATCTGAAATTTTAGCAATGCTATACAAAGGCTACCTGTATAATCAATCCCCCATGAAATCTTGGACACAGAATCTTTAGTTTCTTAGAGACATTTCATACAACTCTTAGAACCTTCGGCTAGGTGTTCTCTTTTTTCTTTTCTTGGTTGTTTTAGCTGTTTCATTATAACAAGGCATAGTCATGGACAAGCTATGTACTATGTTATTTCAGATTTCTTAGCAAATCACTGAATACAAGAGTTGTCTTAGAAGACCCCTTTAGCACACATTCCCATAGACAAAACAAACACCCCCCCCTGCGCCCCCAGGAACTTATTCTGTATAGCCTGAATTTTGATACACATGTATATATTATCTCTTGCAAAAAATACTTTATAGAGCTGGAAAGATGGCTCAGCAATACAGAGCACTAGCTGGTCTTCCAGAGGACCAGGGTTCAATTCCTAACACCCACAGGTTGGCTCACAATCACTCATAGTAAAAGTCCTCTTTTGGCTAGCTTGGGTACTACATACACATACAGATGGTGCAGAGATACACATGCAGGTAAAATATCTATGTACATAAAATAATAAAATAAATTTAAAATATATTATCAAAAATTAAATTGTTTATGAAAATACACAGAAGAGAGAAACACAAAGGTATCGCTGTAAATTTTTTTTCACCTTCTATATGAAGATACAGAGCTAAAGTTACCCAGTAAGCTCAGGCACAGGTACCAAATTGTCACTAGTTTGCTTATTTTAAACCCATGGCTCCTTTTGTTACACTTGCCACTTCTCATACTCTAGTTCTGACTTTTCATTACTTTTCAGTAACTATTTTCTATAGAACTAGGCCTTGTCTTATTTTTCAAATTATGCAATGAATATATTGAATTCTGCCCCAAATATTGGCTCTCAAAGAAGCTGAACCCAACAAGAAAAGAAAAGTTAGAAAAAAATCCTCTTGATAACTTCCTAAAAGGTTGGGAGAGAAGAGAGTATAATAGCAAAGAAAAATAATCCTAAACAAGTTATAAACCTTCTAACCTTGTTAAAAATGAAGGGTCAAAATCAGTCATGTCACAACTCATCCCCCATTCCAGAGCACCACAACTGACTAGAACCAGAAATCTCACATACCCTTCTATTGTTCCCTAACATTGCCTTTAAAATCAACAAAATAAGATGCTTACGTGCTCAAGGAAGCAAGGTCCTATCTCGCTGAGGTGGGGGTCATCATTGTTGTACTGCTTCTCCAGGTCTCTTACAAAGCCCATCTGAAATCTGTAGATGTCTTCAATGTTCCCAAAGATGACTTTCAGCTGCTCATCACTGAACATGTCCCTTCTCTTTCGGCACTGCTTCAGGTAGCCCTGCAGACAAAGGAAAAGCTCAGGGTGTGGATGTCCCCCCTACTGGTTCCTAAGCACATGGAGAATCATTTTCATTCCAGGAAGTAGGCAGGCAATACTTATTTCCAATTTTCATACGGGGGAATGGAGTTCTAGTGAAGGGAGTTATTAAATTAGTAACTCTTCGACTATGATTACACTGGAATGTTTGTTTTCCCTGTTTGGATGAGAAAAAAAAAAAACACAGACCAAGGGCCATTTTCCAGAACCTAGATTGTACTTAGTATTAATTGTATTAAGAATATTAGGGGAAGATGGAGATAAATTTCAGTGACAGAACATTTGCTGAGAAAACCCAAGACCTGAGTTTAATAAGTTTCTAATACCAAAAGGTATCTTATATTTTGTTGATAGGGAATAAAATACCAAAGGTGTGAATGGGTTCTGCTAAAGCAAAAGTTACTAAAATAGCATGTATGGACAACAATCTAGTAACCAAGGTAGAAGCACAAAAATCTCCAATAAAGAAACAAGAATTGAAAAAATGAAACCATCATTTCCTTACTTTGAGAAAAAGTCTATGTAGCCTGAACTCGCCTTGAACTCATTCCCCTTCTGCTTCAGATTCACAAGGACTTACAGAATGCAGGTGATGAAAGGAGAATGGAAAAGAATTCATTGCCTGATAAGAAAGTCCTAACATAATGGTGACAAAAGCATTCGGCCTTGATAGCATACTCCCTGAGATGTCAATTCAGAAAATAGATAACAGCTATGTCCATTCTTCCCATTTGAAAAGTTTAAGGAAAGTTCCAAATATCTTATTATATCCAGAATGCAGCAAGAGTGACAGAGTTCAACACCAGTATGGAAAGTAATGTCTATAAAAGAGAAAGATAGGACTGGAGAGGTAAGTATCTGGTTCCCCGGCTAGAGCCTACTCCAGAAATGCCCCACCCCCACCCACCAGAGCCCCAGAAATCTGAGGGTAGCCTCTCCATATCGCCAAACACCCCCACAGCATCTGAGACCACCAGAGTCTTGACGCCACCCCAACCTGGAGAGGTGATTGTCTGGCTCCCTGGCAGGAGGGCCCTAATTTCTAGACCCTAGCCCCTTGAAGAACATCCCTGCCCCACCCCCACCCAGGAAAACCACAAAGACCTATGAGCAACCTCCCCACACCCCCAACCATCTCCCACAGCATCTGAGACCACCAGAGTCTTGGCCCTGCTCTCACCTGGAGAGGTGTTTGGCTCCCTGATGGGAGGGCTCTCCTCTAGGCCTTAGCCCCTGGAGGAACATCCCTGCCCCACCCCCACGCAGCAAAGCCACAGATATCTGGGAGCAGTCTCCCCACACCTCTAACCACCCCTCACAACATCTGAGATCACCAGAGCCTTGCCTGCCTACACGTGGAGAGGGAGTGTCTGGGCTCCCAGCTGGAGGGCCCTATCCACTAGGCCCTAGACCCCTGAGGCATCACTCCACTCAGCGAAGCCTCAGAGACCTGGCAGCAGCCTCCCATACCCCTAACCTCTCCCCAAGGCATCTGCAACCACCTGCATCTAGGCCCCATCTACGCCTGGAGGAGCTTCCGAGTCATATCAGCATCCATCAGCGGCACAGACATGCCTGCACCTGGAGGAAGAGCTACTACCTAAGCCCCAAGTCCCACCTGCACCAATTGGAGGGAGAGGGATCGCCTGAAGCACAAGCCCCACTCGAGGAAGAGATGGGCAATGGCAGTGTAGGAATACATTCAACAGCCAGGCGGTGGTGGTGCACGCCTTTAATCCCAGCATTCAGGAGGCAGAGACAGGCAGATCTCTGTGAGTTCGAGGCAAGTCTGGTCTACAATAGCTAGGACAGCCAGGGCAGTTACACAGAGAAACTCTGACTTGAAAAAACAAAATAACCACAACAACATAAAGAACCAGAAACTAGTGGTTCTACATCAGCAAGGCATGAACATCCCAACGCCGATAAAGCAGAATAAAACGAACTTAAAATAACTTGATGAAGATGATAAAGGCCCTTAAAGAAGAAATGAAAAATTCCCTTAAAAAAGTAGAGGAAAACTGATGGATATCTTGAATATCACCATAGAACCTTCATCCGGCAATGGATGGAGAAAGACAGAGACCCACATTGGAGCACTGGACTGAGCTCCCAAGGTCCAGTTGAAGAGCAGAAAGAGGGAAGAAAATGAGCAAGGAAGTCAGGACCACGAGGGGTTCTTCCACCCACTGAGATGCTGTAACTGGTCTAAGGGGAGCTCACCAAGGCCAGCTGGACTGGGAATGAATGGAGCATGTGATCAAACCAGACTCTCTGAATGTGGCTGACAATGGGGGCTGACTGAGAAGCCATTGATAATGGCATTGGGATTTAATTCTACTGCATGTACTGGCTTTCTGGGATCCTAGTCTGTTTGGATGCACACCTTCCTAGGCCTGGATGTAGTGGGGAGGACCTTTGATTTCCCACACAGCAGGGTGCCCTGCCCTCTCTTAGGACTGAAGGGGGAGGGGTAAGGGGAAGAAGGAAGGAAATGGGAGGAGGGGAGGAGGTGGAAATTTTGAAGTGTATAAAGCAAAAAATAAATAAATAAAATGTTTGAATTTAAAAAAAGGAAAAGAAAAATTGTAAGAAGTCAACAAATTGCTTGAAGCAAGCAAAGAAAGTCACACACACACACACACACACACACACAAACCAAACAGGTGAAGGAAATGGCTCAAGAGTTGAAATCTGAAATAGAGGCAATAAAGAAAACAAAAACTGAGGGAATTCTGGAAATGGAAAATCTAGATAAATGTGAGGCAAGCATAGCCAATAGAATACAAGAGATGGAAGAGAGAGCCTTAGGTGCTGAAGATACGATAGAGGAAATAGATTCGTCAGTCAAAGAAAATGTTAAATCCAACAAACTCTTAACACAAAAGATCCAGGAAATCTGGGACACCATGAAAAGACCAAACCTAAAAATAATAGCGATAGAAGAAGGAGAAGATGTCCAGCTCAAAGACACAGAAACTGTATTCAAACCATAGAAGAAAATTTCCCAACCTAAAGAAGACCATGCCTATGAAAGTACAAAAAGCTTACAGAACACCAAATAGACTGGACCAAAAAAAAGTCCCCTTGCCACATAATAATCAAAGCACTAAACATACAGAATAAAGAAAGAACAGTAAGAGATGCAAAGGAAAAAGGCCAAGTAACATATAAAGGTAAACCTATCAGGATTACATTTGGCTTCCCAATGGAATCTCTGAAAGCCAGATCAGAGATAGACATTCTGCAGACACTAAGGGGCTACAGACGCCAGCTCATACTACTATACCAAGCAAAACTTTCAATCACTATAAATGGACAAAACAAGATATCCCATGACAAACCAGATTTAAACAATACCTGTCCACAAATCCAACTCTACAGAAAGTACTAAAAGAAAAAAAAAAACTCCAAACCAAGGAAGCTAGCTACACCAACAAAAACACAGGCAATATATAATCCAACACAAGCAAAACCCAAAGAAGGAAAAAAAAATTGACCACATACTCAGTAACAAAGCAAACCTCAACAGATACAAAAAAAAATGGAATAACCCCCTGTATCTTATCAGATCACCATGGCTTAAAGTTAGAATTCAACAACAACACTAATTGCAGAAAGCCAACAAACTCATGGAAATTGAACAATCGAATCACCCCTGGGTCAAGAAGGAAATGAAGAAATTAAACACTTCCTAGAATTCAATAAAAATGAGTATATAACATGCCCAAATTTATTGGACACTTTGAAAGCAATGCTAAGAGGAAAGTTCATAGTACTAAGTGACTCTATAAAGAAATCTCACACTAGCAACTTACCAGCACATCTGAAAACTCTATAACAAAAAAAAAGCAAACTCATGCAGGAAGGGTAGATGACAGGAAATAATCAAATTGAGGGCTGAAATCAATAAAATAGAAACAAAGAGAGCAATACAAAGAATCAATGAGACAAGGAGTTGGTTCTTTGTGAAAAATCAACAAGATAGACAAACCTTGACACAAATTATTCAAAAGGCAGAGAGATAATATGCAAATTATTAAAATCAGAAACAAAGAGGGGGCCATAATAATAGACACTGAGGAAATTCAGAGAATCATTAGGTCATACTTCAAAAACCTGTATTCTACAAAATTGGAAAATTTGAATGAAATGGACAATTTTCTTGATAGGTGGCACATACCAAAATTAAATCAAGACTAGATAAACAATTTAAATAGACCTATAACTGCTAAGGAAATAGCAGCAATCATTAAAAGTCTCCCAGACAAAAAAAAAAAGCCCATGGCCAAATGATTTCAGAGCAGAATTCTACCAGAATTTCAAAGGAGAGCTAATACCAATATTCCTCAAAATTGTTCCACTAAACAGAAACAGAGGGGACACTGCCAAACTCTTTTTACAAGGCGACAGTTACCCTGTACCCAAACCACAAAAAGATGCAACTAAGAAAGAGAATTACAGACCTATCTCCCTCATGAACTTTGATGCAAAAATGCTCAATACTGGCAAACCGAATCCAAGGTTACACACCAGAAAAATCATCAACCATGATCAAGTAGGCTTCATTCCAGAGATGCAGGGATGGTTCAACGTATGAAAATCCATCAATGTAATCCACCATATAAACAAAATGAAAGAAAAAACCACATGATCATCTGATTAGATACTGAAAAAGTCTTTGACAAAATACAACACCCCTTTGTGAGGGTGTCTTAGAGAGATCATGGATACAAAGAACATACCTAAGCATCATAAAATCAATATGCAGCAAGCCAACAGACAACATCAAACTAGGGAGAAACTCAAAGCAATCCACTAAAATCAAGAACAAGACAAGGCTGTCCACTCTCTCTATCTATTTAATATAGTACTCGAAGTTCTAGCTAGAGCAGTTAGACAATAAAAGAAAATCAAAGGGATACAAATGAAAAAGGAAGAAGTCAAATTTTCACTATTTG